GAGCAGCAGCTTCTTATAGTGGTGGTCTTGCCTAATCTTTTGGGGATACTTTCACGTACTTCCTTGTAGACCAATTGATGGTTGATTTTTCAATTAAACCACGGCCTGGAAGGTCAACAGCTTCTTATAGTGGTAGTCTTGCTTAATCCTTGAGCTCTTCAATATTTAAATAGAACGTAGCATTGTAGGGCAAATATATTAAGCACTTTTGTGTTTACTATTGCGAACTCTGACTATATATACGCAATAGAAAAGCTAATAAAAATATTAAATTGTTTGTTTTTTTTTTTTTTAAACTCTTAAAAGTTCTTTTATCTTAAATTCTTTATGAATTAAGTTTAGCCATAAAAAAAAAAAAGATAGAAAAATCATAAATAGATGCTTTATGGCAAAAAAAGCCATTGATCTCATAAAAAGAGAGACCTCCAAAAAAAAAAAAGGGGCAACCGAAGCTATAAAATGTCATTTGTCTTCCGGTAACATTGTTCTCTATGGAAATTTCTAATATTTGAAGATTCTATTGTTATGAAAGACGAGCATATACCAGTTGTTGCAAGCAACAGAATTAAAAAGAAAATGAATTATGGATTTGCGCTTATATTCGATATCGCGTTACGTGAAACCGTATTGAGAAAAGCATTGTATGCAAATGAAAGTTAGGTGGAAAAATTCTAATTTAAATAAAAATTTCTTTATTAAACTTTTTGCACACGTACACAATAGTAGAAAATTAAAAGTAAATGTGTCGTTAAAATGAAAAAAAAAATAAAAAGCATAGAGAAAAAAGTCGAGGTTATTATATTGTATTCTTCATCGTCATGGTCATAAAATAAAACAATAAAAGTGAAAAAAAAAGAAAAAAAAAAATGCTAACGATTGAACAGTTATATCAACTGTTGCCACTAGACGAATAAGCTCCTGAAGTTTCCAAGAAAACTTCTGCACACACTGCATGAACGTATGAAGTAGAGAAGTTAGCTTAGATTTCTTTTCCTCAATTATCATCAAAGTTTTGTCTATGAATAGAAATCATCACGCAATCATGAAATAATAGACGCAGAAAGTTGGGCTATGTATACTTAAGCGGTTTATGTACGCATTGTTGCATTATTCAGTAGGCGTGTTAGAGCCATAATAGAATTTAATTTGTTACTCAAATGCAAACTAACTCAACATGGATACAGTTCCCTAACAAGAAGAAAAACAAAATCTAATAAACATAGCTTGAAGAAGGTACAAGAAAGCGTAGACGAAGCCGTACGTCTGCGTTGAAGTATAGTGTAATCTGCACAGACGCATGGATAATGAACTGTGAGCAAAAGTATGCCAATAAGTTATGGAAGACCGATAGATGTACGGGCGAAACATCTTACCTATCACTGAAAAACATTGAACCTTACAAAGCTTATGGGGGCGGGCAGATCTATCAAGAATTTGAAATGAATCGCAAAAAAAAGTTAACATAGTAAGGAAACATAGACAGTAAGGCTGTTGTGTTCCGAGCTAGTAAATAATCTATAGAGAGTTGAGTAAAAATTTGTCGTTAAGTTGGAAGATAGTAATATATGAACAGAAGACCTTATCCATCTTCCAAAGAGATTGAGAGAATTAAAAATGAAATGAGAGAAAAGTTGGTTTAACAACATATTTTGCGGGCAGAGGTACTTCTGCGTTCGGAGCCAATCGATAAACTGTTTTGCTGAGCAAAAATATCCCGCTTAATTCTGAAGTTTGTCGTAAGCTACACCTTTTAAGATAGGCGGGTTGCAGTCACTTGGACAGAAAATTCAAAAAGGTTTGAAAGACAATTTCCACGGAAGAATAAGATGTAAAATCAATATGCCAGTAAAGTGGAAGATTCTTATATATTAACGGCAAACATTCGATGCCATTAGAAGATCTTACACCCTTTTAAATAAGTGAAAAAAAATGAAATTGTGTGAAATGAAATGAAGTGAAAGAAGAGCGAAGCAGATAAACCGAGGTGGGAGCAATGTTGCTGCACTGAAAGTTGGCGAGTAAACTACCGGATACCTGAGTAAAAAATTGTCAACAAAAATATGCCGCCAGTTTTATATCAATACTTTAAACGATTAAATGGGATTAGGCAGCGCTCCTGACATTTTGAAAATTCTTATCCTGTTTCGATTAATTTCACGCATTTTATAGCTACAGCTAAATAGCACTTAATAG